TTCTCTTTAGATTCTTATCTTGAGCATTGTTGCTAAGTCAACTGTAGGCTTTTACCAGGCTTACAATACCAAGAACAAATTCCTTCCAGTAGGGTGGGCCAGTTACCCCCAAAACTGCCATACCACTATTGTACCAGTAGGCACATTTTGTCTAGCAAGTCTGTACTGTAGCACACAAGGCACTGCTGATAATTTGTAATTGCATTGTTTTAAATCATTAATTGTAATTTATTAAATAATATATAACACTGCCCTGTCCTGCGAGGCAGTCAACGACAAACTGGGAGACATCTAGGGGAATCGAAGGGTAAGGGAGGGGAAGAACAGCAAGTCCATATTCTGATCAACCTGTCAAGCTTTATTTTCTCAGGGGAGGCTTATATAGGACCATGGGCAGGATGTGAGTAGGGTTTGCAAGTGGGCAGGATGAAAGGGTCAGTAGAAGGAATGCCCTGAACTAATCTTTAACTCGCTGTAAAACTATAGCAGGAGAAATATCCTGAGCTATTCTTTAACTGGCTGTAAAGCTGCAACAAGAAGACTATCCTAAGCTATTCTTTAACTGGTTGGTTGTGAAACCACAAGCCTGTATTTAGGAATGCTCTGATAAACATTCTGCTTACTTCTTAAGAGGCAATAATTTTCTATCTCAGAGGCCTGAGGTAGTGAGGATGGTGATGGTCCCCAACCTAACACGGAAGGCTATAGGAAATGTTTTCACATGTAGGGTACTTCACATTCTATTGTAGCCATTTTAAAAGATGGACTATTTTAGAGTAAGAAATCAGATTTTCTATACACATATCTATTATAACTCATAAATTCTGATTAGATACATTTAAAGCAAAATTATATTATGTATTTATAGGGCAAATAAGATCATTTCAAATACAGATGAGTTATCAAACATGAAGTTATCTACTAATTTTGACATTAGTTATCTCAAATGAAAAATATCCTTATATTCAGAGGATATATAGTGAAATGTTTAATTGATGTGAAAGCTGCAATTTATCTTTATGCAGTCTCACAAGTATAGAGAAAACAAATACAGTGAAATTGTAGAATCCATTCTTTGACAGCAGTGGTTTGACTTATGATGGATTCATGAGAGTAATTCCATTCAGTAGAAAACTTTAGATTTTGAGATTTTCTCACCTAGTGATATATAGTAAGACATTCTCTTATACAAAGCAGTGGCAATGCAGGATAGCCAGGGTAACCTGACAGTAAACAACCTGTACTTCAGTGTCTCAAGCTGCTATGATGTTTAGTAGGTTCAGTGTATTAACATGTTTTCAAAATGAGGTAGTTTCTACTAGTGGTAGATTTTCTTTGGGGGAGGGGAGGAAGACTTAACTCCACCAAGGAGTACTTATATAGCTTGTCACTTCCTTGTAGGGTCACTGTACAATTTTCAATTTTCATAAACATCAAAGGAAACTCATGGGAAAATGCTATATTTTGTCCTTAATCACATTTATGCCAAACATAATCTGTTACATATGATGCATTAGAAATTAAAATTAGATTTTTTATTACTTTTAAATTATGTATAGGCATGTAGGCTTGCACGTGCGTATATACCTGAGTACTGAATCTACAGAAATTGGATACAGTATTCAATTTTCCTGGATCTGGAGTTAGCACAGTTGTGAATCACCTGTATCCTGTGATCTGTGACTTTAGCTCAGGTCCTCTGGAAAAGCAGAACCACACTTAACCATTAAACCATTTCTTCAGTCCCTAGGAATTATTTCCTAATACAACTAAGTAACATTTTAAAATGTACTTATTTTATGCAGGTTTTGTCTGCATGTATGTATGTGCACCATGCTTGGCTGTTGCACAGAGGTAAAAGATTAGTTCCTCTGGAACTGGAGTTATGGATGGTTGTGAACCACCATGTAGGCAGAGGGAACTGAACAAGTCCTCTTAACTGTTAAGCCTTCTCTCCAACCCTTTGGATAACATTCTTCTTTAAAAAAAAAAAAAAAAAAAAATGATTAACTTTATTTTGTGTGCACTAGTATGAAGGTGTCAGAGTCCCTGGAAATGGAGTTACAGAGAGTTGTGAGCTACTATGTGGGTGCTGGGAATTGAATTTGGGTCCCCTGGAAGAACTGTCAGTGCCCTCAACCACCAGCCATCTCTCCAGCCCCTTGAGTAACATTCTTAATCTTGAGTGGTTAAGTTCCTTCTCAAGACATGTAGGAAGGGATCATTCCCAAGAGGACCTGTAGGAAAGAGGATGCATCATTAATGCTTCTTTATTCATCTTACACTTCATAAAATGCACTGTGGTAACCACTAAGGAGCCTACTTCCCACTTATCCCCAGGATTATCTTTGAAAATAATTTATCTTTAGCTATCTCTCTCTTATTATTTGTGAAACTGTAGTGGAAAAAAAAATTAATTGCTGCCTTTAATCCTAGCACTCGGGAGGCAGAGGCAAGTGGATCTCTGTGAGTTCAAGGTCTGCATGGTCTACAAAGTGAGTTCAAGAACAGCTAGGGCTGTTACACAGAGAAATCCTGTCTTGAAAAACCAAAACTGAAATAAATGAATATAAAAATTTAATTGCATTGTGAAATGGACATAAAGTATATCTTTTGTAGAAAATGGTCTTTAAAATACAATATGAAATCCACTAATCTGGAATTGTCCCCATGGAGTTGATTTAGACACAGATTATCCATCTAAAATTTCCTATTAATTTGATTCATCAATTTCTTGCATAAAATGTATTTCTAAGGAAACGGTAAGACTGTTGTGTGATCTTTAATAGCATTGCTTGATAATCAAAACCAGGAAAGTTTCAGATAATAGAAAATGGGTATAATATAATGGAATATTAAATAATGTTTCTGAACAGTGCAAACAATACATCCCTTTTTGAAAAAAATAAAATGCATGTTTACATACATGTCAATACAGTATAAGACACTATAAATGGCTCTCTAGTAGGATTACAGTCAATGAGATGTGTGTATATTTTACTAAATGAATGTTTATTTCTTTTGTCAAGAAAACATTAAGAGATCTGTAAAAAAGTTTAAAGGAAAACAAAATTTTAAACCACTATTTAACAGGTCCTTCAAGTGAGATTATTTTTCTTGGTGAACTGTACAAATAATAAAAACTGGTATAAAAAAGACAGTGCTATGAAATAAAGTATTTACAATGTGCCACCTCTTACATTTTGAAGAAGGAACTCATGTTCTAAAATAAGAATATACTCAACCCTTTTTCAAAGACACCCCCCCAGCTTTTCAAAATATAAGATAAATTGTAATTAAAATTGCATGCTAGATGGGATGTATCAACAAGCAGTGTATTGTAATAGAACCAGGATGATTTGTTTTACCATTTAATTTTGATGTAACAATTTAAATCCCAATTCAACAAAAGTAAAGCACAAGTACATAAATGAACCAGCAACATAAAGTTTAAAGTTAGGTACACACAGGAAATCTCAATTTAATACTTAGTAAGGTATACACCCCTATTTACATTTCCTCACTCCCTTATGATATTTTACAAGTTCTTCCCTCGATTAATCTAAACATTCAGAACCTTTTTCCATTAACTGAAAAAAAAAAAAATTGGTCCTTAGACTGCAGTATGGTATCAAGTAAGGAAACCCCATGGTTCTCCATACTGTCAGTTTTGAGAACATTGTTCACAATTTTAAGCAAAGTCCTTGTTAAAAAAAAAAAATTTTTTCCCCCATAATTAAAATGGAAGTACTGTTGCTGGGAATGTAATCCTGTGGGTAGAGTTTCCCCAGTATGCACCTGGGTTTGATAGCTAGCACCACAAAACGAAGAAAACCAAAAGAAACACACATTCACCAACATAAATACACTTCTTAATTGAACTGGGCATGGTAGCACACAGGAGGCAGAAACAGGTAGGTTTCTGGCTCAAGCCCAGCTTCGTCTACAGAGAGTTCCAGGACAACCAAGGCTATAGAGAAACTCTGTCTCAAGAAACCAAAAATGAAAAAGAAATAGCATTGTCATAGACATAATGAATTGTGCGATTGATATTTTCTCCTTTGTTTTAGTTGTTAAGATAGTCAGAAATAAGTCTGTGACTTCCTGTCTAGGAAGCTGCATCATGGCAAGTGCTCTTATCTTTACCTTCTTTTTTCCTTCCCATTATAATTTATTCTATTATTTTTCCTTTGGAAAACAGAAGCATAATAACCACCTTTTAAAGAAAGCTGACTTGAGAATTAAATGCCAATGTATATAATGTCTGGACCATTCTAGGGGTTAAAAACACTAATTTCACTTTAAAGTCTGATATATTTTGCTTGCATTACTGCCTAGTAAAAGTCAATAAATTCCAACTTCTCTTGAAGTAATGAAGATAATCAACAGGTTACAATCGTATCAAAACTGAAATGAAAAAATGACAAAGGGCATTTAGGTGAAGGGTAAAAGAAGTTATCTAACTTGTAAAGAAGAATGACCAGATAATGAGATATCAAAACTAGAATGAAAAATGAAATAACTTCATATAGTGAAAGAAAATTAGTGATCCTAACCCATAATCATTTAAGGCCTCAGTTGTCTGAATTGATATATAATAACAGCTTACCAATTTGCTTTTTTTCATCTAAAAATGAACCATGAAAGATATTTGCTATTTACAAATGGCTCAAGAAATTGTATATTTTTTCAATTTATAACTTATAACAAACTTAATTGAATTATTTTTCAAGTAAATCCTAAAAGACCTTGAAATGTGCTATTGAAAGAATACAACAGTGAAAATAAGTAGCGAAATTAATGTACAAAAGGTAATAGTCAACTGAATAAAATGTCATATACAAATAGAAGCAGATTATATAAATAAAAGCTTCTGTGTTCTCCTGAGTAATTAAGGTGAGGAAGGAATTGCCACTGTAATTGTGCTGCCATTGATTATGGTTTTAATGTTTCTATACCCTTGAAAATCTACCCAATTACACAGGAAAACCTCACAACCATCAGTGCAAAAACTTTATTTATAATTTGTTTCTACTCAACACAACTTTACAAGATCTGAACTTAATCCACAGTTATTTTCTTTCTTTTCTTTTTTTAAACATCTGCAATCAGTCATGTAAAATGTGGAAAAAAAAAAAAAATCCCCATTAATCAATTTAAAATCTTGGTTTCCCGGTTTCCCTTTCCCATCGTTACAGCAAATTTAAGATAAGTCTACAGCATTCACTTACTTTAGCTGGTTCTGATACAGAGGCATACTTTTTTATTTGAGAGTCAACACCTAAGGACTTGGCTAATTGTATAGCATTTGAATCATCACTGATAAGTGTCCCAAGAGCCACAAGCAGTCTAAAAGTGGCTTCTAGGTCTTGTACAACTTCCAAGATTGTGCTAATTACTGACAAGCATTGAGCTTTCCCTTCAATGTTATGGTCTTTATGGAAACAAACAGAATAGTTCAAGGTCAATGTAGCCAGAGCAATATGAATGTTCTTATTGCTCCCTGATTTCAGTTCTATCGCCTGTGACATCAGTGACTCCCTCTGGGACATCATGAGCTTTTGTCCTGCCTGACTAACAAAGCAATTGCAAAAAGTCCTAAGAGCAAGAAGCTGGTTTGCTGGTTTTCCTTTAGGGTTCAGAAGGTTGATAAGATGGCTGCTGAACTGATCTCCTTCTTTTTCATTGCAGAAATTCTCATTCACACTGGGATGTTTAATTGATAGCCGAAGAATGTCAAGTGCAGGAAAGACAATGTCTATTAAAAAGAAATACTCATTAATACATATGAAAAAAAATCTAGAAAAATTCCTTATGGTTATTATTTAAATTTACTTTATTTTCCCCACTACAAACTAACCATTTTTAGGAAATGTGTGAAAAATGATTTTTTATTTACATAGATGAGAATTATTGCTATATGCTTCAAAACTGAGTAACTCTTATATTGTCTAAAAAACTGACACAGCTAAATATTCAATGAGATGAATGAATGCAGAAGGGAACCTAGCTTTAAATACTTGGTAACTAGGCTAAAGAGCCATAGGGCAATTATTTAGAGAATTTTGGTAGAAGCATTGTAACCAAGGGCTGTATAGATGCCAAGTAAACATTTACTGAACAATATTACTGTGAACTTAAGGAAACCTGACATATGCTCCATAATATGAGAACAACCATGTGTAAAAGATCTTCACTGGGTCTGAAGAGATGACTCAGCGGTTAAGGGCACTTGCTGCTCTTCCAGAGGTCCTGAATTCAATTCCCAACAACCACATGGTGGCTCACAACCATACCTAATGAGATCTGGTGCCCTCTTCCAGTCTACAGAACACTGTCTACATAATAAATAAATCTTTAAAAAGAAAACTTAGCACACAGCAGAACAAAACAACCCTAATAAACTAAAGTCTAATACGGCACTCAAAGTAAATATAGGGGTAGAACACAATAAGCAGTCAAATCAATCAGTTACATCTTTAACATGGTTTTCCCCCAAATTATTGTCATAAAAAAATAAATCTCTGGTCTAAGAGATGGCTCAGTGGTTGAAGAGGACCCAGCTTCAACTTTCAACCTACATGGAAACTCCTGACACCCTAACTCTTGTGTCTAGAGATCGATTGGCCTCTTCTGACCTCCACACTCACCAGGCACAAATGTGGTGCACATACATGCGTGCAGGCACACATAAAATTAAATAATTTCCATGGTTTATTTAAAAAAAATAATGAGATGATAACTTTTTGGTTTTCAAAAAATATGATAATGACATAAAAGGGAGAATAGTAGTAGATACTTTTAACCTGGAATTAACAGGTTAACTGAATAGGATAACAGACACTATGACACAGCTTACAAATTATTGTTTGTATACAAGAATTCCAAATACTAAAATCTAAAGTTTCAAACATTTTAGCACTAAGTACCTAAAAGAATTTCTGATTTTGGATTTTCAGATAATGAATGTTCAATTAGTAAAGTCAATGAAAATATTTCAAACTCTGGGAGACTTCAAATTCTAAAACATTCCTGGTTCTTAAGTTTCAGTTAAGGAATACCAAATATACCAAATATTCTCATAGTCTCTAACTAAAGCAAGATCATTTAGGAAATACCAAGGTTAATTTTTAGTTCATCTAGAAATATCAGTAATATTGGCAGAAAGAAAAGCTTCCTAGTTAAAATTTGAAGAGTACTTATTTACCTTCAGGCCACTTGATAGCTTTCCACAAAATCTGAAGTTGCTGGGCTGTTGGCTTTTCTGAAGAGTTATTACAAATTAGAGACAGTATCTTTTCAAGAAGTACCAAGTCATCCTCAGTTAGCTTCTTGTCTTCAGGTGCAGTTCCATTAAGTTCCTTCAGTTTTCCTAGAAGCCAAAACCAGTTTTTGAAAATTCTGTACTGGAACTTAGCCAAATAATATATAAAAGACATTTTCAGGAAGACTCTCCTGTACAACAACACTCTTCTCAGCCCATAAAATGAGTTTTGTGAGCATTTGTGAGTAGGTGAAGGAAAGGCAATCACACTAGTTTTGAGGTTTTCTGAGACTCTCTTCAACAATAAGTTATATATATTCAAGTATAAGTCATCTCCCATTTCCCCCAAGTTCATAACTTACAACATTTATATATTATTTTTGTGTGTTGCATGATATGTATGAGTGCAGACATACGTGTGCCATGATTTGCATGAGGCAGCCAGCAGACAACCTAAGGCACCAATTCTCTCCTTTCACCACACAGATTCCAGGGACCAAACTTGCACTTTTATCTGCCCATTGAGCCATCTCAGAAGTTTTAAATTGACAAATCCTTAGTTTTTTTCTTTTAGTTAAAAAAAAAATTTTTTTTTTTGTTGTTTTTATTCTGTGTAATTGGTATTTTGCCTGCATGTATGCCTGTGAGGGTGTCATATCCTCTGGAACTGGAGTTATAGACCAATGTGAGGTGCTATGTGGGTGCTGGGAACTGAACCTGGGTCCTCTGGAAGAGCAGTCACTGGTCTTAACAGCTGAGCCATCTCTCCAGCCCCCAAATTTACAAATCTTTAACAATGACAAATGGACTTTGAACCTATCTCACTTGTATTTGGTGCTATAGTTTTTAACACTGGCAAATTATTGAAAACAAAACTTAAGTATGTAGAAAATATGAAATCTCTTAGATTTGTATAATTAACAAATGTTTAAGTGTTTTTAGTTCAAAATATTACCTATAAATGCTATTTATAACAATAGTAAACAGAAAAATAACAAAAACAAAATCTCTGCCTTATGTCTACGTTCAAGTGTTATCTTAATTCTCACCATCAGGTTTGTAGCAAAGGGATAATGTAATTTAGATTCCAAAATTTTCCCCTTTCAAGTTAAGAAAAGCAATCATAGTATGTTTTTTTTTTTCTCTCACCGCCCCATTCCCCTTTCCCAGACAGTCTCAATATACAATTCAGGCTAGCCTCAAAATTTTACTCCTCCTTCTTCATCCTCCTATATTACAAATACCTATAATATCTAAATAGATAAATATTTATTCAACATTTTAAAAACTTTAGGACTTCCATAAAGAAGACGCAGGTTTCATGATGAAATAGTGGACAATAAACTCTTGACTTTGGAAAGGTTTGGAAGTCAGAGGATATGCAGTCCATTCTCTTTCCTCTATATGGGTCCCAAGAATTGGACTCTGGTTCTCAGGAGTGATAACAAGCACCTTGCACTGGCTCTGTCTTAAGAACACTTTTTTTTCATTGAAAATAGTTTTTTGGTTTTTTTTTCAATATATTCTGATTATAGCTTCCCCACTCCCAACTCTTCCCAGATCCTTCATACTTCTCCATCCACCCAAACCCACACCATTTTTCTCTCACTAGGATACAAACAGGCATCTAAAATAAAAATAATAAATAAAAATCATAATACAAAACAAGCAAAAAGAGAAAGGGCCAAAGAAAAATCTCGGGAAACATATTCAGGAACATATTCACAAACACAAACACATAAAAACACAAACCTGGAAACCATAATGCATATGCAAAAAACTTGTAAGAAAAAAAAAAGCCTGAAAAAATATTACGAAACAAAAAACTCCAAAAATACCACTGAGTTTGTGTGTGTGTGTGTGTGCGTGTAGGATACTTATTTATTTTTAAATAAGTGGGGTGTGGTAGTACAATGCCTGTAACTATAACACTCAGAAGGCTGAGGCAGAAAGACCAGGAGTTGGGGACAAGCCTGGGTAACATAGTAAAAGCCTGCTTTTATATAATAGAAAAAAAAAATATTATCTTTATTTTTCAAATGCTTTACTCATTTTCACCCCCACCCTAAAAAAAACCAAGAGCTTGAGTGTAGTACTTACATTTTCCCCAAATCGGTGTTTTCTATTAAAGTCATGATAAACCATTTCTCTTATATTTTATAAAACTTCTTACAACCCATTAAGGCTGAATTACCAGACTGTTGACAACAGAGCTAGATAACAACTATCTCACTAGAAGTCTCTATTCATTTAGGTAAGCCAAGTGCTGGCACATGTCAGGTGGAGGAAGATTAAGTCTGCAGAGCACCTCTAATTGTCATTGGGTATGCAAGAAAAAAACATTAATATAGACTTACCTAATATTTGTATAGGGTTTGCTTGGTCAAAGGTAAGAGCTTCCTTTTTGGGGAAATAAATATTCACTGTTTTAGATGCAGCCGATCGGTAGGCACTACTTCCTATTTACAGAGGAGATCATGAAATCGTAAGACATATTCAAAAATGAGATGTTTTTCTAATCATATGTCTATGCTCTCACAATTACTAAGTTATGTAGCTACTCAAGGTATGCAATAAAAATAATAAGCCATTTCCAAACCATTCACAAACTTTTGGATACCACTTAAATTTATCAATGTAATAATTTCTGGTTTCAGAAATGGAAGTAAAGATCTAGAAAGGGGACTCCCTATCTCATATTTACTAATTTTGTTCAACTTAAAATATTTTTAAAAGGTTGAAGAACAAAATGAATATGAAACCTCATTCCCATCTTAATTAATACTCTGCTAACTCTTTTCTCATGTCCTTCAATGCTTATTCCAAATGATAAAGTAGTCCGTGTCATTATTATTATTTTTTTTATTTTTTTTATTTGTTTAAAGATTTATTTATCTTCATTGTGTGTGTGTGTGTCGCATGCATGTATATAAATATACCGTGCCTGGGACCTGCAGAGTCAGAAGAGGCCATCAGATCCCCTAGAACTGGAGTTACAGACAGCTGTAAGCTGTGATGTGGGCGCTGAGAACTGAACCCAGGTCCTCTAGATGAGCAGTGAGTGCTCTTAACCCCTGAGCCATCTCTCTAGCCCCCGTGTCATTATTTTATATGACATCTTTATATATTATACATGTTAACTGATGACTAATAAAAATGGTTCAACACAGCCAGATGTGGTGGTGCACATCTTTAATCCCAGCATTCAGGAGGCAGAGGCAGGCAGAATTCTTTTATTCTAGGATGGCCTTGTCTGCACAACAAGTTTCAGAATAGCCATGGTTCATAGAGATCCTGGAACAACCAAACTAGCACAAATTGAAATTTCAGTAATATTCAGTGGAATAAAATGACTTCATATTAAAACTTCTTCAATTAAAACTGTCTTCTGTTGTGACATATGCTTGTGGATGGATACCTTTAATCCTAGCACTTGGGAGGCACAGGACTAAACACTGAGACCATGTCTCATATTAACAAAAATAAAACCAAAATTTTTGCAGTACTAGGGAATCAAAGGCAAGGCAGCATGTATTCTAGGCAAGAACGACAACTAGGCTAAGGCCTAAGAAATTTCAATGAAATTTTTAAAATCTAAAAGAAAAAGAAATTTAAAATAGCTACCTGTAAATGGATCGACTCCAGCCATGGAGGTGCCCATACCTGCAGAACCCGGCATGTAACGACCAGCACCTATAATGCAGTAATACTCCTAGTGAGCAAAGTACAGATCATGAAGCCTAAGTCACTGTTTCCTTATAGTAATGATTCAGGTTGTACCTTTGACAGTGTTACTAAAGACAGAAAGAATAAGATTAAATGTAGAACTTCGAGATGACAGAGTAAGTGGATTTGTTGATTTTAATTGAATGTCAACCAGCATCCTAAGCACATGAGCAGACTCTGTACAGTATTAAATGTCATTATAACGCCCAATATTTTTATATGGTAATATTTTTTTATTTAAATGTGAAACAAGCTTGCTTTACATGTCAATCTCAGGCCCCCACTCTTCCCTCCTCCCTTGTCCCATCCCCTTTCTTCTCCACAGGGAGGTTGAGGCCTTCCATGGGGGAATCTTCAAAGTCTGTCATATCATTAAGAGCAGGGCCTAGGCCCTCCCCCATGTGTCTAGGCTGAGGGAGTATCCCTCTATGTGGAATGGGCTACCAAAGTCCATTCATATACTAGGGATAAATACTGATCCATTACCAGAGGTCCCATAGACTGCCCAGGCCTCCTAATTAACACCATATTCAGGGGGTCTGGGTCAGTCTATTTTGGTTTCCCGGCTGTCAGATTGGAGTCCATGAGCTCCCTCTTGTTCAGGTCAGCTGTTTCTGTGGGTTTCTCCAGCCTGATCTTGACCCCTTTGCTCATCACTCCTCCCTTTCTGCAACTGGATTCCAGGAGTTTGAATACCCAATATTTTAAAAGAAGGGGTGTTCACTAGTTTGTGTAGGCAAATCCACAAGAGTTCATAAAGGGGTAATTAAGATTTATCAGAATACACAACAAGGGAGATAGCTGCTATGGTCTTCTGTTCTGCCCTGGGGGTGAATGGATCCAACAGTCTGATCTCTAACCACCACACGAGAAAGCATGACCGTCCCTCCCTTTCCTTTTAAGAGATCATGTGTGCAGACAAGAACCACTGCCCCTATCTGGCCAGACAGCTCGAGGTCATGGGCAGAGTGAGTACCCACTACACTTCTCTCTTTTGTCTAAATAAGAAGGGTCAAAACCTAACACAAAACTATATACAATATGAACAATTATCAAGTATTGTCCAGAAGGAAGAAAGGGTGATAACACCCACAAAAGCAGAACTTCAACTGAAGTCAACCAAGAAACACACACTAAATGTCCAGGCCATAGGGAACTAGCAAATAACAGAGATTATTCCAATAGCTGTCCTATCCTGAAGATTCTAAGTCTTGTATCTAATATAGCTTAGCTAAAAGAAAATACTAACTTCTCATTTTGATGTTAATAATGCTTAAGTTTTCCACAGTAAATAATAAATTTAATAAGCAATAAATTTTCCTAACAGCAATCTCTGAAGTCCCCAGAAGGAAGACAGAGCCTACAACAATGATTGTATCTGGTTCATAATGAAGCCATCAAGCAGATAAATAGCACTCAATGATCAGCTTTGGACTACACACTGCTGAAGACAATTCCAAATTGGCTAGTGGAGATGGCCTACATTTTACAACATTGGAGCCAGAACTTCAGATAAGTCTTACCCACTACTCAGAGGCTAGCTACAAATGTTACAGCTAGTCCTCTTGAGACTTAACCATTGTTTTTAGCTTCTTATAGGATCCCATAAAGCAGCAGGAAGCAATTCTAAGAAAATGATGTCCCCTCTCCCAACAGATTTTGTTATCTCAGGGTTATGGATAATCATCTGCTGTTAGGGGTTGGTTGTAAGTTGTAATAGAATTGGGAGTGGAACAATGATGATTAGACTCAGAAAGCTCATTTGGTATAGAAAAAGGGGGATAGGATTGTTATCTACTGGCAAACTATTCTAGCAACTATTAGTTTTAGACATTTACATTGGTATAGATTCTTGTATATTGATACATATGTAAAATTACTTTTGTATTCTTACCTAAGATAATTTGTATATTTATACAAATTTAAAATTATGTCCCATTGTATATGTTCCTATTTCTGTTTACAATATCCTTCTGTATGCTGCAAATATGTGTTGCTTTTATTGGTTGATGAATACAGCTGATCTGGCCAATGGCCATGTAGAATAGAACCAGATGGAAAATCCAAACAAAATTATGGAGAAAAAGAGGCAGCATTAGGGAGATGCCATGCAGCCGTGAGGTAACGAGCCACAAGCTTCATGGTAAAATATAGAACAGAGATGGGTTAATTTAATTGTGAGAGTTAATCAGTAATATGCCTGAGCCATTGGTCAAATAACTGTAACTAATGTTAAGCCTCTGAGTGTTACTTTCAGGAACTGATGGGCAGGGAGAGTAACTTCCAACTAAGACTGCCCAAGGCCTATATCATCGAAATGAGCTCTATGCCCACCTATTTAATATAATCCAGTCCTACTCTAAATTCATTCTTTTACAAATAGGACAATCTTACAAACAACAATGAAAAAACCTCAGCGCACACCACTCCAACACTAACAGGAAGCCTTTTGTGAGGAATCATGGCATAGGCTCCCCACAATAGTAAGTCAGAATTGTTGGGGGTAGCTCTCCAGATCATTCTTACAAACATAAACATTAAAAGTTTAACTACTGCAAAAATTAATAAGGAAAAGAATTAAGATGAGGGACCAACTCTTTTGGCCTTAGTGCCATGGTAAGGCTGGAAGAACAACAGCAATACTAGCTAACACTGATGGCCTAAATGCACTCCTGATACTCTGCAAAGCACTTTATATGCAATGTCACTTCATTTTCATCTCCATATGGTAGATGCTAGCATTTTGTTTTTGTTTCTTAATACTGGGTCTTTTTACTATGATGGTCAGGTTGTTGTCAACTATCGATGCCTACCTTAATGTCCTGCGTGCTGGGAGATGTATACCATCGTGCATAATTTTGTGATCTATTTTTTATATGTGTGGAGTTCATTGATCCTCACGGTAGCTTCATTCTCTTAGATATTTAGTAGGCTACTTTTTATGTCTACAAGTTTGTTGCATCTTTTGAGTCACTGACAACACGCCCCAGTGAGACATCTCATGGTTATGATGGCCCCAGAAATTCTCTTCATTTCCTTAGTATTTGTTTAAGCTTGGTATATTTATTGAAAAAAAAAAAAAAAAGGCCATGAGACGGATTAAGGAACTCTGTTAAGTAAGTTTCAGGGTATCACTGTTTGTAAAAACTACTGTTAAAGAGAAAGTTGTCATTTATACACTCCTCAGACCCTTATTACCTTTTAAAATCAAATCATGTACTCAAAGAATTCCTTAATAGAAAATATACTGCCAAAGCATAATAGCTTGTGAGCTGGCTGTCAATACACAAGAACAATCACTTCCATCTGGGCGATCACTGTATTCATTAGAGAAAGGAATCTCATTGAGAGAAATTCAGTTCATGATGTTGACCTACAGTTACAGTGAAACAATCTGAAAAAGGGTTGTAGATTTACACTTCCATAGCTCAGAGTGCTGAATATGGAAGACCACTGGATTTCATTAAGAAGCATGAATCTCTTCCAAACTGGGCATGTTGTTTGTCCATGAACTCTATCTCAAAATTCAACAACAGTGTTTAAGAAATAAATTGATGCACTCTAAAACTAATATTTTCTTCAGCAGCATTAACATCCAGCTCTGGCAATGTTTTTTCAGTAGTGCTGCCTCAACTGAAGCTTGCCTATCTCAGGAAGTAAATGATACTTCAAGAAGGCCATTCATTAATAACAGATCAGGAATACTAACTGGATACTCGGCAGAATGCCTCCTTCCAGGCTTAGTCAAAACATGCACGAAGCATCTTGGATTGCACTGCTTCGTGCCGGAGTATATAGCAAGTGACAGCTAGTATTTAATAGGCCAACCTACCAGATGAAGGAACTCTCTGAATCGGGGTGGGGGCAACTTGGCTAGATTGTGAGGCTACTGGCTATAGATAACTGTCTCTGTAACTTTTCTCATGTGCTATTAAAATTAGCTATGGGTATTATTCCTACTGCTTGTGTGTTTATCTCATGAAAATATTCCATCTACTGGGCACATATATAGCTGTGGATGGTCAGGAAGTTGCTTTCTGCTTAAGCTATTTAATTCTCATGAATAGAAATAATACTAGGATATTTTTCATTACTCAGACTTGACATAAGAAAGTAATAGTATTCTCAGTCACAAAGACAACTAATTTTAGACTTTAGAACAAGTTTAAAGCAAATTGGTTGCTCCTGGGGACAAATATACGAGGTCAATTTCCCAGGTGTTTATTGCTCATTCAAGGTCAGAACATGAAGCAACTTTAGTAGATATAACTTTCTCAGCAATGGACTTTCTGCATTGAGGTTTCTGCAAACCTCAAGGTTCAGGCAACTAACTTAAACTATTGTGTAAGTCCTGAATTTCAATGTCACTTTCTGTCTGACCACCCATGTATTGACTTTACCCACTGGCCAGTCAGCTTGACTTCCCTAGCTTGAGAGAAACTGCATGATCAGTTTGGCTGTTTCTTTTTCTTTTTTCTATTATTTGGTTTTTCGACACAGGGTTTATCTGTGTAGCTTTGGAGACTGTTCTGGAACTCATACTGTAGAACAGGTTGGCCTCAAACTCACAGAGATCTGCCTGACTCTGACTCCAGAGGTGTGAGCCACCACCGCCTGGTTTGGCTCTGTTTCTTATTGTTTATTCAAGAAGAGCTGCATGACCTTGAGAATGTAATTCATATTTGTCCAGAGATTCTGGCTGTGATAAGAAAGAGGAGAGATGTAAGGGAATTAGAAGAGAAATGTGAGAGAAAAGTATATATGTGTATATGTTGATAGGAAGATGTAGCTGAATGTGCAGAGAGAAGTATAAGGGATGAGTAGGAGATAGGAGAGTGAGTGTGTGTGTGTTGTGCACACGCTAAGGGAGATGTAGCTGAAAGTACAGGAACAGAAGTGTGGAGAGATATAGCTGAGTGGGTAGAGGGATATAGAAAAATGTAGCTGTATAGAAGAGAGATGTGTATATGTGAAGGAAGAAGTACATGGCTGTGTGGAGAATGTAACCATGTGGAAATTGATGATTATATATAGAGATGTGTGGCTGTGTAGAAGAGATGTACTTGGGAAGAGAAGTGTAACTGTGTGAAAAGAGATGTAACTGTGTGTAGAGATGTATGGCTATGCAGGAAAAAGATGTATGTATGTAAAGAAAGATATGTAACTGTGTACAAAGAGATGTAACTGTGTAGAGAGATTGTCAAGAAAGAAAGATTATACAAGATGAAGTAAAAGAGAAGGTTACCATAAGAAAGTGTGTGGTTATTTCTCCTTCCTTCCTTCCTCCCTCCCCCCCTCCCCTTCTTTCTTTTTTTTTTTTTTTTTTTTTTTTTTTTGAGACAAGGTTTCTCTGTATTGCTTTGGAGTCTTGCTCTGTAGACCAGGCTGGCCTTGAACTTATTAGAGTTCAAGGAGGCCTGCCTCTACCTCCTGAGTGCTGGGATAAAAGGCATGCACCACCAACACCCAGCTGTTGTTTCTTTTTTCTTAAGCTACCACCAGAAAGTGTGTGCTTCCTTATTTAACCCTTAGATAGAAAAGTCTTGCCCTTTCCACATTGGGGGATTTGCTTTGCATACCCTGGAGGCAGCCTTGGAGCAGGCTCTCCAAGTAAGGAAGAAATATTTTCTAAGTTCCTTGCTGCTCTGAGAAGGCATTATTTTCACTACCCTGGGTGCAGTTCTGGGAGACGGCCACCTGGGCTACAACAGCTTCATCCAATACCAAGGACTCAGCTGTCTCTCTCCTCCTCTGACTATGACTTATGATAGTGTCTTGCCAATGATAACACTGGTGCTGTACCTTGGTTAGAGGATTCCACTATTATTTAACTTCACAGATTAAAAAAAAAAAAAAGCCCAGAGTATAACTTGGCAATTTCTCACAGCAAGTATATGATAGAGCTAAGGTTGGTACTACGGTCGGTCATCTTACATTATACCCTCTTTTTCTAACTACTCTGCTCTCCTGATAGAAAGAACAACTGGGGAAAACAATGTTCTGGTAACATGTTCTTTAAAATCATGAGAATATCTACTCATTGTAGGAAAAAGCAAAAAATAGAAGTTAAAGATCTACTAAAACTGATGATACAGGTAAGGGAACTATTATTGGATCATATCTTCAGAACGTAAAGTCACACATAATATAAGATGCTATATATTGAGCCAAGATTATATTATTGAAAACTATCCCACCTGTGAAAGGATCTGCTGTCTGCACTGTGTTAGAAGGTCCTGAAGTGCCTGGAACATAGCGACCACCACCTATTCATGCAAAACAATAGAAAAGCTCAACTACATGGAAACCGTGATTCATAAACAGCATGGTATTTATGCTATAAGAACCCAAGCTTGGGGGGGGGGAACCCCCAAAAACCAGGAGCAAAGCACACAACAGAATGATAGAAATTATAGTAATTTTTTGGTTTTTTTTATATATACAGTATTTTGCCTGTATGTCTGTCTGCACATCAGAAGAGGGCACCAGATCTCATTACAGATGGTTGTGAGCCACCACGTGGTTACTAGGAATTGAACTCAGGACCTCTGGAAGAGCAGCCAGTACTCTTAACCTCTGAGCCATCTATCCAGCCCCCTATAGTCAAATATTTTACTGCTCCCCAGAAACTAAAATTTTAGTGGTTCTCCAAGTATAGTTCTTTTCCTTTTTAAATTTTTTTTTTGTATATGCCACTTGCAAAGGGAAAATTAATTTTTTCCAATGTAGTCTCAATGGGGATAGTAATCACACTTCAGGGCAGGCCCCTTGCCCAGTAGTAAATGGTCAACACAAAACAAACTCAATTGTCTATTCATGTAGGCTGTGTGTGTGTGTGTGTGTGTGTGTGTGTGTGTATGGGGGGGGTCATGTCTTATATTGCTTTGTTTATATTTTTTTTTTTTGGCCTTAATGGTCTTCGGTTTATATATTATGTTTTCTGATTTTGTGTGTCTGTGTGTATGAACTCTTATGGGTTTTGTTTGCTTATTTGTATTCTAAAGACAAAGAAAGGGCATGGAGTTGTGTTGACTGGGGAGGCAGGGAGGATTTGGATAGAGTTAAGGGGAGAGTAAACCCTGATCAGAATATAATTCATGGAAAAAAATTTTTATGTGCATGGGTGTTTTTGCCTGCATGTATGTCTGTGCACCATGTGTTTGCCTAGGATTCTCTAATGCAACATAGTCCCTGGAACTGGAGTTGCAAACAGTTATGAGTTGTCATGTGGGTGCTGGTACTAGAACCTTTGTCTTCTACAAGAGCAGTAAGTGCTCATAACCACTGAGCTGTCTCTATAGCTCCTGAGTGTAGTTTTTTAACTGATGGGTTTTTGAAATTTTAGCCCCAGCACATGAATGTGGAACTAACTGAAATCAACATAATAGAATTGTAGGTGGTGTCTGACCCAACAATACTCATATGGAATTCCTATCCCTGTTCTGTACAGATTTACTAGGATTCCTGTGGTTGCTATTGCATGAAAACCATGGGCATTTAATGTTAATCTTTTGGGAAAGATCCAACTTCCTTATCTCACATGTGAAACAGTGTACTTAGTGCTGGAAATCTAGCAGGAAACATAACTGTAACTCCTGATATTACCAACTGATAGAGAGAGATAAAAATGCTACAGGGATGAGAGCTACAAAATTACTGGATCAAAGTATCTTAATTTTAATTTTATTTAGTTTACTGGGAGGTTATATTTACATATCTAAAAATTTTAGATTTATTTTTATTCTCTATGTTCTATATTCTACATATTCTGAATGCATGTATGTGTATTACATGTGTACCCTATACCTGTGGACATTAGACAAGGGCACTGGATCCTCTGGAGCTGGAGTTACAGATAGTAATAAGCCACTGTGTAGGTGCTGGGAACTAAACCTGGGTGCTTTGCAAAAGTTCTTAACCACTGAGCCATCTATCCAGCTATACACACGAACACACAGCCCTATGTATATATGTGTATACGTATATACATATATATTTTTTAATTTGTTAATTATGCATAGACCTGCATATAATGGGGGTATGTGCATGTGTACTGTGCTGGAAGAGTATGTTACTTGCTCTCTGGAGCCTCCTCACACAGGAGCTGGGAACCAAACTTAAAACAGTAAACATTCTTAACCACTGAACCATCTTTCCAGCTCCACAAAGATGTATTTCAAAAGATAGTAGTTTTATAATTGTTTCTGTAAAATATAAACCTGGTGTATTTGAGGCTTATTAATTAGAATGTAAAAAAATCAATGTGAAGTAAAAACCAATCACAATTTTTATTTAAAAATAGCCAAACGTAATCATTACAAGGTAAGAAAAACTAACAAGGGCTGGGTTCTATCTCAGTATGTACTTGCACATGCACAAGACATTGGTTAATAGCTCCACTAAAACAAACAAATACCCTCCAACATCCACAACCTCCCCCACACATGCAAACCCAACCCTAATACTAATGTTAGTACATAAGATTTAATATAAGTCTAAACTCACCTGTAAATGGGTCTGAAAAACTGGTATTTCCAAGTCCCAACATTTGACCTTTTGTGTTATCAATAATAAATTTAGCCACCTGATCCAAAAACATGGGATTCAAATCATTCTTCTGCAAGAAATTGTAAGCAGCTAGCCAGGGATCTTCACTGACATTATATGGTAATTTATATGACGGACCACCTTCATTGACATCAATTGAAAAAACATAATCAAATTCCTATAATGAAAACAGAAAACAAGATAGATAATGTATCTGTTCAGATACATTGAGAACACACATAAAATAATACAGATGTTATGTGTTTTTTATTCTAACCATTTCTCCAAAATGCAATGGTTAAGGCATTCTATTTGGCAGATAAGGAGCCAAAGTGTGTATGTGTCACAAAATTAATGTTTCATTAGGAGTGGGGCAGGTGATGGCTGAGATGGGGAATGGATTATAACTACGTATTAATTCTAGGTCCAAAAGAGGGTTCCCAAATGACTGATCTCAAGGTCATAATTTTTAGCTGTGAGGGTGTTCTACTCACCAAGACATAATGGCACATAAGCACAGCTCTACCGTGCCCCTCATGTCTTGTCAAGTTTAACAGAGACAGGCATTAAGCTTGAGATGAAACTCCTAATCCAAACTGACTAGAAATGTTTTTGTATGGGAAAGTCTAAAAGATAGATAATGGCTAATCTGTCATATGCAGCTTTCTTTACACATTAAGATTTTATATTGATACATATTCATAATATTCTTAATTACTTAATATAACTTACTGTATATATTAAATCCACTTTAAGACAGAAGATAATTTTCTTACAATAATGCACTTTTAAATGTCAAATACAAGAGAAAATTTGATTAGCAGAGAAAACTTCTAAGTTTCTGTGTAGTTTAAAATAATTAGAAAGCAGAAATAGACATACTTTCCCTTCATATAAAACTTTTCCAGATGTTTGCTGATTAGCACCAGATGAGCCAACAACATCACCAATTTTTATCCACCTCCCGTCACTAACACTCCACTGATAGGCTTCAACTCTCTCTCCATCTCGGATTAGACGAGTCTGTCCTTCTCTAGTACCTTAAAACAAATATTTTAAGAATCAAAGGTTGACTAGCAGAGTAAAATCCAAAAGCACTTAGACAAATTTTAACATATTTTTTTGGGTGCTTCCAAGTTCAAATAGTAAGACGAGCAAGAAGAACATGGCTTCTCTTATCAGTTATGTATGACAGTAAAAATCCTCAAGTATCAGTATCTGGCATTGAGGACAAATGAAAGATTAGCAAAACATTTTTCCTTATCACTCTTGGTATTCCAAAAGGCAAGTGTGGTTCCCCTGAACAGAGTTTCTGTGTCACCTTGGCAATCCTGGAACTCACTCTGTAGGCCAGGCCAGCCTTACACTCAAGAGATCTGCCTGCTTCTGCCTCCCAAGTGCTGGGATTAAATAAAGGTATGCACCACTGCCTGAGCTACAATTACTCTATAATAGTTACCTGGTTCATTCAGATGTTCCCTCCCAGGAAGCTGCTCAGCATTAATGTCTCCTAAGTCACCAGTTTTGGAATCGATTGTTGCCTGAGAGAGCTCTCTCTCAAAAGCCTTGATTTCCTCAGCACTTGCTGTTCGATCCTGTGACTCTGTAAACACTCTAATAATACCATCACTACAAGAAAAGCAAACTAGTTTAAGTCACTGACACATCTATTACCATTCCCTCATGTGAATAAAGGAAATATTATCTGCATGCATGAATATGAAAAGTATCACTGTGTATTGTGAAGAAGTATGCTTACTATAACATACATTATTATTTCAGCTATTTAGAGAAATGACTGGCAAAAGAGAAATACATTTAAATACAATTTTCAATTTTTAAAAACATGCCAGTGACTGAATCCACCAGAACCTTGTATCCATTAGGCTGCTGCTCTACCACTGAGTTCTATCCCAGGATTTTTTTTTAAAGACAGGTATTTGTATATAGCCAAGGCCAGCCTTGAATGTATAATTTTTCCCACCTCAGCCTCCAAAGTGTTGGGATTATAGATAAGTATCACGACAACCAGAACAATATTCAATTCTATAATATTTACTGAAATAATTCAGAAGTACAGTATTTACTTTTTAGAATCACTATTACATAGGCAACATACAGTATCAAAAAGGGTTGGCTGGGCATTGTGGCATATACTTATAATCACAAACTAGGTTTCACATCAAGACCCTGTCTTGAAAATAAAACAAAAAAATGTAAATAAGCAATCAAACAAAACAAAAACAATAGCAACACACACCAAAACAAAACACAAAACACCAAACCCCTAGGCCTCCCAAAAAAGGGTTACTGGGCCAGTTAACTTTAAAAAACACTCAAAGACATTAACCTAGGCTTATCATATAGCAGGTACTCAATATGCTCAAATAACCTCAAAGAAAAATTCAGCTCCATGATTGACTAAATAGAAGTTCTCAACCTATATATTCTCAAGAACACACTATATAGTCTTATGACTGCATTTTCTCAATTTTAATAAAGTGGGGGAGTCACAATGTCTAGTTTAAACTGTATTAATCAGATTGAATTCTACAGAATACTTTAGTTCTTAATTTTTTACTAATGTCAGTTTCACTTTCTGGGTTGGCCTATTTTCCTTTGACTGTTACCAAGCTTCGTGAACTATTCTATCTACATCAACAAATGAATCCTTACCCCAACCCAAAATAAAAGAGGTCTACTAAATCCTCTGTACTCAGAGCTGTCATCTTTTTCTTCTAGCTTCCAATGTCTAGTTACAATCTTTTCCTATAGCAAGTAACCCTATAATGTTCTACTAACATGTAACAGCAACAGCAGGTATTAACACCTTTCAAAATGGATCCAAATGCTTTTCTACCTTTCCATTCTTCAACTTCTTCCGAACTTAGGACACTGACACTAAGATCCCTCTAAAACCTCTTCCTTCTCCCTGGATTCTGACATCTGGACTCCTGTGTGCTTTTTAACCTGCTGACCTTCCTATATCCAGAGTATTTCACAGGATTCACTGCTAGTCTTCTGTCCCTCTTCTGTATTTTCTCACCCAGGAAAAGTTTTGTATATATCTTTAGGTTTGGTACTTACAATAGAATTCAATCTGTCTACTTAGGATATACTGGCAGTGTGTCAAGACACTGCTCAGATCTGACAAGTCTTAAGCCAAAATATTACCTTCCTTATGAACCAAATTAACTCTTCCACTTTTTTATTTTTATTAATGGGGATTGATTAACACATGCTATAGTTTGAAGCTTTATCCTTTTCCTCTGAATTTTCTTATTCTTGTATTCATTAGTACTGTGATGTCAGTGTTTTATAACCACATACTCCTAGTACAATTCATTTCTAGTTTGCTTTCCTTTCTGTTATTATCTCTAGTTAAATCCAATCTGCTTAATTCATAAATTCCATGTCAATCTGATCATGTCTTGCTCACGAGCTATAATCTTTTAACCCTAAGCATTAAAAGGACCTAAGTTTGAATTTTAGCCATAGGTAAGCCTCATCATACTTACCATTCGCTATACCCCCCAACCTCAATTCTCCAGTATTTCCTTGATCTCCTAAACACAGAACATTCACTCCATAAATGAAACTGTGTTACCTCTTTTGTCAGAAATTCCATTTCTTTTTTTAATTCACTAACAATATCCAATTTAACTTCTCTAGGAAGTTTTCCCACACAGATCTCTAGTTTATCTAACTTCTTTGGCATTTGGTGTTTTCACTATACAAAATTTATAATATAACACCATACCACAAAGTAAATAACAGTTTTTGAAGTTTTTATTACTGTTCTTTACTTAGTAACAAAAATGTACAAAGTCCTTTCAGTCATCTAAAATATCTATGGTTTACCTCTGCACCCTAAAGTACCTACCAACCACCTAGACACAAAGAATGTATTGACTGACTAGAATATAAATACCTCGCACCAACCACAATGTCACCGTTATCCAGCACACAGCAGCACCATATAGACTGAGCTGGAAGTCGGATTGTTTGGGCACATTCACCATGTTTCCATATTCTCAGAGATCTGTCTTCTGCTGTTGTCACAAAATCTAAAATTAATGAAAACAGAAGAAAAAAAATGTGTTTAGACAAAATTGAGTATTTTTATATAAACAATATTTTTCTATGTATGTGTAATTACTAATTTAAAATTAATTTTAGATTTTGCAACTTGTTACAACTTCAAAGTCATATTTTTATTTGTTTCACATTTTACATTCTATTCTTTGGACCAATTAATTATACAAAAAGTCTCTCCTCAGACACTCAAAGGCCTTTTTATAATACAGTCTTTTACTCTGAATTAATCACAAAAATTTCTCAAAAATGCGATGTAATAGCAAAAATTTAAATATATAGCGTAAGATAATCTTACCTCTACAATTTGGAAAGACAGATATGCTATAAATATAATTTGTATGTCCATAGTATACTTCAAGACATTCGCCAGTAATCTGCCACCTTCTAATACTAGCATCATTTGCACAGGAAAGAAATTCTGTTTCACTCAAAATTGCCAAACCTCTTACACAGTCTTCGTGCCCTAGATTTAAAAAAGAATACAAATCAATAAAATCTCCATTTGGTTGACAGCACTGTGCAGTTTATTAACACCATAAAACTTATAAGTAAGTAGTAAAATCTAATTTTTCAAGTTACAGAATTTTATTTTCTCCTGTAGAAGGTGGTCTGGTAATCAGATCATTTAGTAATATTGTTTATCCCAGTCTTAGAAGTTATTTTATATTTTCTCTATCTTATCCAGATGATTTCTGAAACCCTCAAGATATTGTAGACCAGGCTTGACCTCCAACTCAGAGATCTACCTGCCTCTGACTCCTAAGTGCTGGGATCAAAGGCATGTACCACCACAACTTTAACCTTTAAGGAATAAAGAGGAGAACCAATAAAAAATGGCCTATAGTAAATAAATTGTGTGGCACTCCTATTAGACAGCAAGAGGCTGCTGAAGTAGTTCAGTGAACACATGTGGTTAAAAGTACAAGGGATTGAGTTTAAATTCCCAAAGCTGGGAGTCTATAAATAAACAAAAAATTAGACAATGGATGCCTCACTCTATCAAAGGGCCAGAGTTCAACCCCACATCAAAGCTATATGCATTACAACATACACAAAAATCACACTTACCCAAATGGCCCCAATTATACCGAGTTTTTTAAATTACCATTTTTCAGTTTCTAAACCTTCCAGGAAAAACAAGAAACAATTAAGCAGGTCAGAAGTACATTATGTACTATAAAAGTTGCTAACACTGCTATTACCTGAAAAAGTCCTCTCACACCTTCCAGCCTTCCACAGTTTAATAGTCTTGTCTGCTGATCCAGTTAACATCAAACCCTGTTCAGGGAGAATTTTTACTGCCCATACTGCAGCTGTATGACCCTGTGAGAAACATAGGTATCAACTTAAGATGCCACAGAATCTTCAATATTCACCTATCATCCAAAATATTCACACAGAAATGATACCTGTAATGTCATCATGCATTTGTCATTCAGCCAGACTTTAGCAGTGGTGTCCCATGAGCCACTAAGTAATGTCCCAAATTTTCCAGACGAAAGACTACAAACTAAGGGGGAAAAGTGATTAGTTAGTATATTTTCAGTGAACAAATGCTCAACCTGGCAAGCTTCTAAAGTATTATAATTTTTAAGTAAATTTGTGAAGTGACATCTTCTTACCCAATAAAATTCTATTCAGTGGAGCTGTGAGGATAAGCAGTGTCAAGATAAGTTTTGGTGCCAGAATGTCTAGGGACAAGGCCTCACTGAGCCATTTATGAGCTCTGTGGCCATAAGGGCAATACTTAAAGAGTGCTAGTGTTTTGTTTATTTTAATTCTTATTCCCATTTTTGAGTATACACCTACAAGTGTATGTCATGTGTATGCAGGTGCCTGTAGAGACCAGAAGAGAGTACTGGATACCCTGTCAACTGGAGATATAGGTAGTTGTGAGCTACTCAACCTTCATGGGTGTTAGGTAGGAACTGGCAAATGGACCTTGTCAAGAGTCATAGCATGAAAAAGATGTTGAGCTAATTGGGAAACTGTAAAATATTCATTAGATAGAATTTTTGTTTGTGATAGTGATAATATAGTTAATTCCTCCTATAGAGAAAAAAGGTTGAGGCTGGTGAAAAGGCTTAGTTGATAAAGGCCTTGCCTTACAAACATAAGGACCTAAATTCAAGCTGCAAAGCCCATATAGGATGGACAGTGCTTATAATGCTAGTGCTGGGGAGGTGAGAAATGTGCCAGGCTATCTGGCCAGGCACTAGAGGACCTGGCAAGCCTCTGGCTACTGAGAGTCCTTTCTCAAAACTAAAAAGATGAGGGTAGATAGATGGCTCTATGAGAGAAGAAGGTTCTTGTATATAGGCCTGACAATCTTAGTTCCATCATTGGGTCCCACAAGATGGCAAACAAGAACTGACTCCCAAGTGCTATCCTCTTGCCAAAAGTAAACTGGAAAAGAAAGAAAGTAGACAGCACTTGAGGAACAACATTCAAGGTTGTTTCTTGTCCTTGACCCCCACCTCCAAGACAGACTCACACAGAGAATGAATACCAGTAGTGGGGGGGGGGTGGGAAATCAGCAAATAAATGCACATTAACCACTTGTTTTTTACAACCCACAAAAGCCAAGCAATTTTACCTTTACCGTTTTAAGTGACAGGGGAATTAAAACTACATTTGGTGAAATGTAAAGACTATGTGAAATACACAAGTATCCATAAATAAAGATTTTTTTTTTAAACTGGCATTGGTAGCATAAACCTCTAATAATTTCAGCTACCCAGGAGGCTAATGCAGGAAGATGACAAGTTGAAAGTCTATGCCACATGTACAATGACTTCAAGAGTTTCTTGGGCAATTCATAAGATAGAACAGGGCTAAATACTTATTTATCTTCTGAGAAACCCTAAAGATTTATTAAAATCCTCTGGAGGGATACTCCCTTAACCTAGAGACAGGAGAGAAGTCTTAGTCCCTACTTCAAATGACTGGACAGAGTTACATGGCCCCACCTGGATGACATTGCCCTACATGTGGAATTGGGGTGGGGGGATGGGAGAGGAGGGTGGTCAGGGTGTATGAGAGGGGGCAGAGAGGGTAAGAGATAGGGAGGAAGGAAGGGAGGGAGGGAAAGGGAACTAGGATCGACATGTAAAAAAAAAAAAAAAGATATTCTGATACAAATTTAATGTCAATTTTGTGATATGTATATTTCTCATCTTATTTAGGTATTGTGTTTATTTAGCTCATTTAGAAATGTAATGTATAATTTAGTACAGATTATAGATAGTTACCTATAATAGTCAAAACTTAAGTTAGGTTTTACCTATAATAGTCAAAACTTATAGTTAAGTTAGTTAGGATTTCTAGAAATATAGAGATGTATTTAAGATGAATAGGCATTTTTCAAACCTTTCAAAGACCTACAGAATATGGCATTTAAAATGGTTTAGGGTTTTTCTTGACAGTGAGACATAACTGCTCCTCGCAACGCCACCTGCGTCAGAAAGGAAGATGGACATTGAAGAAATGCGTTATGGAGTTTGCTTCCAGTATGGCAAGACTAGCCATTTGGACAAGATACTGTTCTTGTCTGGATTGTTTGACTTTATGCTGTATAAACTGGACGTGCAGGACCCATAGAAAAGTGGGTCTGCTGATTCAAGGTGGACATTGCTACAGAGTTCCTGCTTCATGGAAGAGTCTGCCAGACAGTCTGCAGGACACAGAGAAAGTGACTAATAAACTGCCAATACAAGAAGACAGTTTAAAGTTTCCTGCTTTGCTGAAGAGTCTGCCAGACACACTATGGCCTATGGGCTGAAGATGGAAGATTACTGAAGAACTTCGGGTGACTGACCAGGCAGTGAGTTGTCTCTGTCATTTCTAGAGTTTATATACTATCCTTCTGTGGTCTTTGAAGGAGTTGAAGACAGATATTATGGTTAAAGTTTTCCTTAGTTAGGATTAAAGATAAGTTACATATAGGACTTTAGACTCACAAAGACAGAATAGATGATGGAATATTTTCTTAAATCTTACTAAATGTTAATGAACTAAATATTGGTTAACTGTCATTCTTATTTGATAACTGTTGTGTGATATATTTTGCTATGTTAAGGTTAAAACTCTTCATTTTATTTAGACAGAAAAGAGGAGATGATGGGAGATGTCAGTCTGTAAATATGTTTCTCATACTGATAATGAATAAAGCACTGTTGGCCAATAGGAAAGCAAGATAGGCGGGACTAGGAGACAAGGAGGATTCGAGGAAGTAGTAAGGAGGAGTCAACATGGAGAGACTGGGGAGACCAGACGCCAGCCCCACTCCCTGTTAAGGTGAGACCACGTGGAAATACTTAGATTAATAGAAATGGGTCAGAGCTAGGCGATAAGACTTAAGACAGAGCTAGGCGATAAGAAACTAGTACCTGGCCAACAGCATTATGTTTAATACAGCGTGTTTGTGTGTTATTTGGGGCTGGCGCCATGGTGGGTCTAGGCTGGCAGGAAAAAACTTACTCCTTAAAACCTACAGCCCCAGCTCCTGGACAGTTCTTGTCTCTGGCCTACATGAGCACCTGCACTCAGGTGACTTGACTGTCCTGGAACTCATTCTGTAGACTAGGCTGGCCTCAAATTCAGACATCTGCCCATCTGTCTTCTGGGTGCTGGAATTAAAGGCTATAAAAATAAATCTTAAAAAGTAAAATAAAATAAAAATAAGTACACATAACCACACTGACTTGCACATCATTTTGTAACAAAGAGCTGTGATATTTCTAAGTATTGTCCCTTGAAAAATTATACCAGATATCATTCTTAGTCATCACTTTGCTGTGTTAATACAAGGAAAAACTATTTGAATACAACAGTCTTTAAATCTGCAGGTAAATTTATAACAGAAAACTTACACAATTAAGATGGTTCAGAAGGTTTCAACTAACAAACATAGCCAAAATCATGAGAAAAAAAAAGGTAGGTGGATTGTAATCCAGTCTTCAAATGCAAAAATTCCATCATGCTATACTTACCAGTATCTTTGTGACCCTTTAACATATAAAGTGGCATCGGACTGTCCAGAGAGAAAATGCATATATTGTGGTCATTTCCTCCAGTGGCAATTAGTCCATGAGGATATATCTCACTTGAGGGTATGATGCACACACAAGACACAAAATTAGAGTGGCCGCTCATACAATGCATCTCTGTAAAGCCCCTGTTAGGACTGGAAAAACAGGATGATTAATAGATATACATTTGCCTCCTCCTGGCTTACCCTAAGACATAAACATAAAAATATTCCTTACCACTCAGTGTGCAGGCGTAACTTTAAGAGTGAATACCATTCAAAGGACCTATTGCTTTTAATCAAACATTAAATGGCTTCGTAGCACAAGTAGAGGATTATATCAGATTGAGAAAAAATATGTTTTCTCAGAGTATACTAATTAAGAGGGAAAACAAGAAAAGAAAGGTCAGAAGATGAATATTCCAAGTGGCTTTTTCTCATTCTCCAATATGATTCTACTCATCAGTTATTGCTACTCTAAGAAATCTCTGGGGAACCGAAACACTTGAAATTAACATAATGAAACCCACTGTCAGTAAACTAAATTTGGTCAATGAAGTAGGAACACACTACTTAGTATAGTATATAGATATAGCTAAACAGCTAGAATGTCAATCATTTTCAGTGCACAATAAAAGAAAAGGGGATGGGGTGGGTAAACTGTTTGGGAACCCAGTACATTAGTAAGTACCTTGGATTATAAATGAATGCCCATTTGTCACATACATTAATGATTTAGCATCCCTGCCTTAAGTAAGTGAAATACTGGTATATACTGTGTAGAAAACAATAAGCTGGTAATTATGAGATATATACAGTTATATCTCTAGCAATCAAGGAGTTCACAATCTAGCTGAAGCAACTAAGGCAAATGCACATGAGATCAAACTCCTGGAGAAAACTGAACACTCCAACATACTAGTTAACTTTTATTTCTTTCCCAAAACCCACTAACTAGCCATTTAACTAGTCAATAAAGGCATTACAGGGAGGACAAAGGGGGGGAAAAAAAGAACACAATTTTCATAGTGTAAAAATGGCTATAAAAAAAAAAGGCAGTAAAAGCTTAAAAGATCTGGGGGAAATGATTTCCACACTGGCAGCAGGTTAAGAAGAGAATCATTCAGTCCCCTTCCCAAAAGTGTAAGAACTGCAGAAACCTCTGTGAAAATGTTAGCAGAGGTAGGAAGAACCAGGAACCTTAAACCCAATCCCCCACTTAGACAGTAAATGCACTGACAGAACTTGTCTCAGTACTACTTGAGAATTGTGGTGTTAACTGAAGGCTTGCAACTTCCAGGGTGAAGCATAGATTGGAAACTGAATTTTGATTTTTCTGGGATAAAACCCAGAACCCACGCACACCACACATCCGTCTATTGAAGTTAATTTTAATCGATTTCAATAATTGGAACAGTAGCAGTTACCAACCTGCCACCCTCTAATTCCATGGTGTGTGATCCTCTACATGTTCCTGTAGTAGAATGTACACAAAAGCAGAAGCCAAGGGGTACATAAGGCATCCTGACCTCCACATTGCAGAGATCAGTTCTCTGAAGTAGGTTTACTATGCAAAATTAGGTGGCCATTGTTGGAACTTCCTGTCTTCCCTGCTGATGTAAACAACTGCCTCTCAAATTAAAGTGACTTATGAAGAATTTAAAGGACCAACGCCCATTTTGCCTTTTCAACATTCTTGTTCTCCTTCTGAGAGCTAGACAATAAAATCCAGGATGGTACACATTTGAAATCCCAACACTCAGAAAGCTGAGGCCAGAGGATTTAGTTTAAAGCCAGTCTTGGCTACAGAGGTCGATTCTATCTCAAAATACAAACAAAGAACAACTTTAAAACAAGGGTATTCAAAAACAACTGCATATACAGGGAACTGAGAAGAGAATGTGCATGCTCAGGGCAACAGGTGAGAAAAGATCTAAGACCTCAAGGATACACCTTGGCTGGGATGTGGCAGACACCAAACAACAAATCATCAGCGGCCTCTGGCCACCCAAAGGAGCAAAATAAATCCGTACAGTGGTTCCTAAAAAAGACCAGAAGGCCAGATGGCAGATGTACTAGTCAAAGAATCTAAAAACCACCATCTTAAGAGAAAAGACAACAAATAAACAAAAGACAGGGCCTCATTGGACCTGGAATTTGCAATTGCCCTGCTTCTGCATACCAAGTGCTAGAACTGCAAGGGTATATGTGTCATACCTGGCTTAACACAATTGTCTTACAGATGTTGGAAGACCTAAAAGAAGATGCAGAAAACAAGGAAATGATGGAGGAATAAAAGAGAAATGTCAATAAGGAGGTAAGTCCAAAAGGAATTCTGAAGCTGCAGATTACAGGAACAAATAAAAAGTACTAGACAATTTCAAAAGCATAATACACAAGCGGTAAGTTTGAAGACAAGAAGCAGAAATGATCAGGTCTGAGTAAGAAAGAAGCAATACTAAAGTAAACAGAACCTAAGAGACTCATGGAAATCAATGAAATGAACTACATGGACAGGAGTGAGAAAAGAGGGTAAAATACTTGATCAAAATAGTGGCTAAAACCTGACTCAAATCTGAAGACATGAATGCATGCATCTATAAAATTTTCAAAATAAGGCAAACTGCACTGAGACACAGTGCAATAACAGAAGCAACTCATCACTTAAGCTTCCCAGTAAGACGCTAGAGCTGGGTCTGTAAGATAGCTTAGCAAGTAAAGGTGCCTGATGATCTGGGTTCAGTCCCTCAAGCCCATGTGGTGGAGAAAAGTGACTGGCTGCAAGTTGTCCTCTGACCTCCACACAGTGCTGTGGAGAGTGTACCTTCCCATATACACATAATAAATAAAATTATAAGATACTAGGCTTGGGAAGAGAGAGGCAGCTCATTGATAAAATGTTTGTTGTGCAATCAGGACAACTTAGTCTGGATCCTCAGGATTCATGAAAAGCCAGGCAGATCCCTAGAGCTCACTGGCCAGCCAAGCTAAATATATGAGCTCCAGCTTCAATGAGTGACACTGTCTCAAAAAATGTAGACAGTGACCAAAGAAGTCACCAATATTAACATCAACCTCTTGCCTGCAGGCACGCACACACATACGCACAGAGTAGCATGTGCACACCTTACTCATAAAATGATACCAGGTAAATTCCCCATTTAAAACAAACAAAACCCTTGAAAACCCTTGGAAGGAGAGAACCAACTCCTATAAGCCTATAAGCTGTACACACACACACACACACACACACACACACACACACACACACACACTTACTTTAGAGGTTTTGGTTAGTTCCCCAAATCACCTGTGCTGTTAAGATTGGAAAAAACAAAAACAAAACAAACAAAAAAACCTCTAAGGAATATAGAACACAATAGTAAAATGTATTCACTTTAAATGTCAATGAACCATCTAAGTATGGGCTTATCTACCCACAAGAGTCTCACTTTAGGTCCCCAAACACAAATACACTGAAATATACTCCACATAAACAGTAAGAAAAAAGGGGGAAGGGAAGCTATATGAGTATCAACCCAATTGTCTTTAGTTAAAAACAAGTACCAAGTCAAATATATTATTACTTACTAATAAACTGCATGCTAAGTATGATGTCACATGCCTGTGAGTCCAGCAAATTGGAGGCTAGACCACCCTAAGTTACATGACGAAATCTTGTCCAAAAAATTAAAACTGAAAAATACAGCAAAAATATTTAATAATTATGAAGTCACATGCCTAATAAGATCACCAAATTGTAGAAAATGATGATTGACAGAACTGAAAGCACAGTTGTGCTATCACAGATACGACTTTAATGTCCCCCAGTGGTCAGCACTCGGGAGACAAAGGCAGGCGGATCTCTGTGAGTTCAAGGCCAGCCTGGTCTACAGAGCTAGTTCCAGGACAGCCAACGCTACCCAGAAAAACCTTGTCTCAAAAACCCAAATTGACTTAAATATCCCACTCTATAATGGGAATGACAACACAGAAAATAAGCCAGGGGTCTGGAACACAGGTCAGCAGCAAAGCCTTTGTCTGCCAGGGTAAGGCCCCATCCAATCTCCAGGAAGGCCAAATTAAAAACAGAAGAAAACTTGAACAATACAGTAAGCCAACTATAAGTAAGAATATATTCTACTCAAGAACAAGACATTTTGAAAAACAGAGTAATTTTTCTATTCAGAAAATTAAAAACAGAATTACCATATGATCAAACAGAATAAAGATAATCTCAAATAGTTCCTTAAGAAATCACATTCATATAGCACTTTATGATAGCTAAATGTGGGAGTAACCCAATGACTACCATAGGTGAATTGATAAGGAAAATGCTACACAGAAACAGAATTTTATTTAGCCTTAAAAGAGAATTTTATGTCACTTTAAACATGAATGGTCTAAATGCTCCAACCAAAAGATAGGCAGAATGCCTAACTAAAAACATGATTTAAGTATGTACTGTCTACATACTAGAGTCTCACATGTATGTAGAAATTCCGATAAATGTCACAATATGGACAACCTTTGAAGACATTTTGCTAACTGAAATTGGCCAGTTATAAAATGACGAATACTGTAGAGCACATTTATATGAAGTACAAGCTACCTAAAAGTCAAAATCTTGCAGACAGAAAGTAAAATGCTGGTTTCCAGGAGCTAAGAGGAAGAAGGGGAACTACTACTTTAAGGTGTATATAGTTTCAGTTTTACAAGACCAAAGCATGAAGAGGTGGTAGTGCTGAAGGTGGCACAACATTATGAGTGTAGTAAATACTACCAAATTGTACAACTGAAAATAGTTAAGAGGGTCAATTTTGTTATATTTTAGTGTATTAAAACTTGGGCTGGGCGACTGATGGCTTGGTTTGTAAGAGCACATGCCACACAAGCACAAGGGCTTGAGTTTGGATTCTCTGTATTCGTGTAAATAGTCAGGTGTGTCTGTGAGCACCTGTACACGAGTGTTACCCTGAGGGAAGGGGATATGGACAAAAGGATCCCTGGAGCTTGACTCCTAGCCAGCCTAGTTGGTATGTATGAATGTATGTATGTATGTATGTATGTATGTATGTATGTATGTATGTATGACTCCAAGTTCAGATAGAAAACTTATCTGAAAAAATAAGGTGGAGAGTGATAGAACATGACAT